GTCACGAATATGTAATACTTCTTGGCTGGACATTGCTAGAAATGTGTCGTAGTTGCGAGTACCCTTCATAGATCTAGACCTCTCCTACGTTTGGTGGATTATTTAGCCCTGGAAAAGGTTTCGAAATTTTTTAAATCGATATCAGAGTATGAGACTATGAGAAATTAATAGGCGAAATATTGATTTCCTATAAATTAATGCGAATCTGCTTGTATTATTATAGCAACGTATTGTAGTGGAACGAAGTATCTTTATAGATCTCGACTTCTTACAGCTCGGATAGATTGTTAAAATGCACAGAAGAGACTTTGAGATTTACTAGATTAACAGATTAACTATAAAAGATCTATAGTCGTTATAGTTATTATATTGTTCATTATGAGACTATTAGAAATTAATACGTGAAATATTTATTTCCTGCAAATTAATGCGAATCTGCTTTTTCTTTTTAGGAATGTATTGTAATGGAACAAAGTGTCTCTATAGACCTAGACCTCTTACAGCTCGGATAGATTGTTAAAATGCACAGAAGAGACTTTGAGATTTACTAGATTAACAGATTAACTATAAAAAATCTATAACTGTTATAATTGTTATGTTGTTCATTGACATATTCTTTTCTACATATTTATATCCAATTTGTGTATATTTTATATGTATATGTATAGAATGCTTCGCGTAGATGAAACAATCTTTCTTTATTTCTATGGTATCTTTGAACGAGTTAAATGAAGCATATACTGAAACTAATTTTCTATATTTTTTAAAGTATAATCGCATCTCTCCTGGCCTTCAGGCTATATTACAAAAAGAAAAATACTATTAATTTAAAAATTATCACCGTTTGAAATTTGTTCAATTCTAAGTATCAACATACACCATGAAACATTTACACTGTGATAAATATATAAATGACATACCATGGTACTGGTTAACCCTTTGCACTCGAGAGATGATCTTCAGTCACCATTTCATAAAATTTGGAAGATCGATATTAATTAATATATCAAATTTAATGTAACGTAACAGTGTGCGAAGTATCGAAGTCAAATAATTCTACAATTCTATTATTATACAATTCTTTATCTGCTGCTCAAAAAAGTATGGTCAGTTTTTTAGTAGAGAACCTTTGATTTTCTACTCTTCTCTAGCCAAAAAGTCGTCGAGTGCAAAGCGTTAATATACAAGTCATTCTTAGCAAAACAGACTTTATTAATAAAAAGTAATTTGTTTGTTAAATATCCATACATCTGCAATTAGAATAACCACTACTACCAGCCTCACTGACCAAGATCAATACTCGAGGATCATGAGTCACGCGCTGAATAAAGATTGATTCGAAGCCTACTATTCCCTAAACGTTAATTAATCACCGAATTTAGACTGACAAAGGATAACATTAAAATCACTTGCGTTAACAAAGCGAGAGAAGGGTCAAACAGCACGAACCAATTAAAATCAAACGGTCGGCTCTAGTTGAAGAGAAGCTTCGAAGCAATGATAATACAATGGAGTTGTTGCTCGGAAGGGAAAAGTAGCGATCCTATACAAAGAAACGAGGGAACCTGCCAAGTTCTTCGAAGATGGCGAGCTCAGCTTTCTCGGTGTATAAATCATAATTACGAATTTCCGACGCGGCATAATGCAGCCCGAAGAACCAACCACGTTCCTCGTTCATGCTACCAGCGCACTTTGTTGCCAGGGATTAGTAAATTCGGGAAGATTACTCTCGCGTTGACTGCAACTTGGAAAATAAGTAAATCTTTAGCCAAGAAACTCTCGCGTGAAATTTTAACGAACGTATAAACATGTCGTAGAACGTGTGTTTGTTATAAAACAAAGGACAAATTGTTTTCGTCGTTGCGAAGAAAAATCCGCGACGTGATAGTGGAAAATCTAGAAAAAATTTACTGTGGTTTCTAAATTTGATTTTCAAAATTATTAAACGCAAAAACAAAACGTTTATCTCGTGAATCTTGCACAATTCCATATATGAAAGTTTATTTAAAGTGTATTTTAATATTTGTGTTCTTCATAGAAAAATTTGAAATGAATTAAAAATAAATTAAAAGAGAGGAAATTATATTTCATAATTATTTATATTTTGTTTTGAGGTAAATAGATAATAATTAAACTAGAAAATGTATGAGAAGAATTTTTTCACGAGTATTTTAGATAATCTATTGTAATTTTTGAATTCATAATTCTTTTTAAATGTCATCTTGTGAATGTTGTAAAAAATTTAAATAAAAATGTTTTATTTTTTACCAAAGATATTAACGATAATTGTAAAATGGAAAGCTTCGTAAGACTTACGAAAATGGATAGTTGACAAAGAATATTTCGAAATATAATATATGTACACATGCTTCTTGCTCAAAATCATCAAATCCGCTTCTTTTGACCTTGACACTAATCTGCATTCGAATTGAGTGAATCAATGGCGTAAAATATATCATACTTGGACTCCTATGTCGATTAATCACCGATTAACCTCCTCGTATATTGCACACTGGATATGATAAATTTTATCTAGACAGAAAATAGATCCTTACTAAATGCGCAGTTTCGCAGGAAAAATTATTCTCCATACATCAAACAATACAGGAAAATTGCAATATCCAAACCTTAATTTGAAAGAAGTTTTTAAACAAACGTAATAATTTTCAGTAAAATAAAAATTAAATAAAAATAAAATAAAGGAAATTAATATAAATTTGTCTTCATAAACTCCTATGAAATTTCGTAAAATGACTGTCAAAATATACGTATTATCCAGATTAGGATTAATTCTATACTAATATACTATTCTAATTCTAGGATTATTCTATTGTTCTGTTATTATTATTACTGTAAATAATAATAACTATTACTATTTTTTTCCTTTATTTATACTATTACTAATTTACTATCACTGTAAATTCCAATAAAATTGTCCAAGAAAGTGAAGAATTTAGATGTACTTTACTTGCGAATGAAAATTAATTACTCTTCAGACCACGTATATACGTAGGACAGCCAATTAAAGAAAGCTGTACAACTCAGAGTGACCGGGAGTCTCCATTAGTCAGCTGACGAGGTCCACTTAATTGACCAAAAAGTTCGTCGTAAACGAACGCGTTACAAACATCGAATGGCACTCGATCAACACGAAATATTTATCAAGCATTTGAGTCATCGAATTTATCATCGAATTTTCCCCGATAGCTGTAACAAACGTATAAGAGAAGAGATAACACTGTCTAACAAACAAACAGACACACGTATCCGTCAATTTTCCAAAATAATTACTCCACTTCGAAAATAGACAAAGTAAAAACATAGATCGTAACCATCGCCAGAAGTGTTCCGTTGAAAACATTAAACCTAAATTACCATAATAAAAAGCACATTGCCAGTAACACTACACGTGGGAAGCTACTACGAGCCTAACATTATCAACGTGACACATGCGACTTCCATGGGCGAAAAAGAACACAAAAGAAGCAAGAAAATATTGCACAAAGATATTATAAAATATTACGAAAAAGAATGGAACAGTATAATAGAAAAAATACTGAAGAATATTAGAAAAAGGTGTCACAAAGTATTATAACAAAGCATTGTATAAAATTATAAAAATATATCGAAAAGTTATTGTAAAATATTACAAAAAAGCATTGCAAAGTATGATAAAAAGATATTGAAAAATATTACAAGGAGTTACGATATACAAGAAATTATTATAATAAAGCACTGTACAAAATTTCAAGAAAAGGAATTTAAAAATATCGCGAAATATTACGAAAAAAGATTGCAAAGCATGATAAAAACATATTGAAAAATATTACAAGATGGAGTTACGATATACATGGAATTATTATAATAAAGCATTGTAGAAAATTTCAGAAAAAGGAATTTAAAAATATCGCGAAATATTACGAAAAAGCATTGCAAAGTATAATAAAAACATATTGAAAAATATTACAAAATGGAGTTACGATATACAAGGAATTATTATAATAAAGCACTGTAGAATATTTCAGAAAAAGGAATTTAAAAATATCGCGAAATATTACGAAAAAGCATTGCAAAGTATAATAAAAACATATTGAAAAATATTACAAAATGGAGTTACGATATACAAGGAATTATTATAATAAAGCACTGTAGAATATTTCAGAAAAAGGAATTTAAAAATATCGCGAAATATTACGAAAAAGCATTGCAAAGTATAATAAAAACATATTGAAAAATATTACAAAATGGAGTTACGATATACAAGGAATTATTATAATAAAGCACTGTAGAATATTTCAGAAAAAGGAATTTAAAAATATCGCGAAATATTACGAAAAAGCATTGCAAAGTATAATAAAAACATATTGAAAAATATTACAAGATGGAGTTACGATATACGAAGAATTATTATAATAAAGCACTGTACAAAATTTCAAAAAAGGATATTAAAAGGTATCACAAAATATTACAAAAAGCTATAGTAAAATGATAAAATATTATAAATATTGGACGATATTAAAAATATTAAAACGCACCGTTATCAAAGAATATCGAAAAATATCTGAAAGAAATGAGAGAGAATGGCGTGAAAATGGGCGAAAAGAGAGAGAAAAGCGATGGTTTTGATGGACCGAGTGAACCAGAAGCGATACACGACGAACGACGCGCGACGCCGGTTGTTAGAGAGGTTCACGGTGCTCTAATCGTCCTCCTAACTCGTCCGCCTCTAATCTCTGTCAACACTGTACCGCCCGTGTGTCGCGTGGAACGAGACCCGACGCGACACGACGCAATGAATCACCGCCGAAAAGCGCCTTCGACCGAGAGTTCACGGCTGAAGGACGAGTTCGTCCATTCCGCGTACAACGAAACGCGTGGCGCGCGATTGGAAAGTAAGACGGGCATACGAACCAGAATAGAAGAGGCGAACGGTCTCGGTGGCGGCAGGGAAGCACGACGGAGAGAAGAGGCGACAGAACAGAGGCCAGAATAACAGGTACCAAGCGAGGAAAATCGGCGAGTGGCGACGCTCTGGTTTACCAGATACGCTTGGCTCGATGGCTTGCGGCTAAGATAACGCGAGTCCGCGCGTCTCGTCGCGTCCGATCGTCTTCTTCGTCGACCACCAGTCTCTGTCTCGCTGCGATCCCTCCACCGATCCGACCGACGACAGGGTCGGGCATAAACTGAAGTGACCAGCGTTATTCGCCGGCCGAACGAGAGGTCGAAAGTTCCGTGTTAAGAAGAGAGGTCTAACGCGCTAGTAACGAGCGAGCGGACAACAAAAGCTATGGGCGAAGAGGAAAGAGGTGTCTCTGCGCGTGGACGCGACATGAGACTTCGACGTCTACTACGATACTTGTCCCCCAAGCGCGTCTACTTTGATGTTTCCCGCGGTCTAAACAGAGAGCCGGCGAACACGTAACGCTGATCGAGACCCACGCCCTCGTTCGATGCCAAGCTGATGAAATTCGCCAGCGATCGGCCGCTAGGCGGCGTGGTACCGTTTTTGGTAACGGTTCGTCGTCTGGAGAGTGGAGGACGGAGTTTGGAAATACGCGGCACGCGGAGCAACGAAGGAAATAACTGGCGTCGATTGGACGCGAGACGGAGAGAGAGAGTAATTAAGTGGAAAGTAGATTGGGTTGGTGGATGAGTCGGGAAATTGTGGAAGGTCTTTGGATTTGTCGAGAGACGTGGTTCGAGGGTATGATAGATAATGTAAAAAAACATTTGCACTCATTGAAGACAATTGTCAAATTGAAGATAATTCCGGGGTCGTTGGGTATAGGGAAGAGTAGAAAATTTGTGCTGGAATTACCAAAGCTATTATAACGCGTGGCTTCGGATTTTCTGCTTTTGCTCGACATTTTCAGGGATATCGCTGCAGATATTTTTGCAAAAATTTATATTTATCGATTTTCACTCGGATGCCATTTTAGTTAATATTATCTATGAGTAATGAATAGATTTTGGAATATATTACGAGTAGATCATTCCGACGTTATAATCGAGGCTGAATATTATAGTCGATATTGGATATTGAAAAGTTAATTTTGATAACTATTGGAAAATCAAAATTTGATAATTATCAAGGTGGAAGCTAAGGAAGCTGTATATAAGGTGTCCAAAAATTCACGCAAGATTTGAATTTTGCGCTATTTGTGCGGTAAAGTGTTGCCAACGAAAAAGAAAAAAGACTGCGTGACAGCTGACTGTTCAGGTTTATTAAAAATGGAGCAATACGTCTTCATTGTTAAGCGATATTTAGAAATTTTTGATTAAAAACCTGTGTTTTCTATCAAAATTACTTGTTGCGTGAATTTTGGGACACCCATATATTCTCAAATTTAATGGAAAGATCGAAGATGATGAAATATTTACAATTTAGGAGTTAGTGACTTAATAATCCTAGTAATTTTAATAGCTATGAAGAAAATAGAAAATCTTAAATAAAACAATTACATACGTATGATATTTTGTAAATGTTGTATTAAATACTGTTTCTTGAAACCGTGAAAAGAGCATGGACAATATTTGAAGTAATTAGTAACTGATTCTACAAATTTGTACAAATCTAAAACAATCTACAATTTCCCTTTTTTATTTATTTTTTGTATTTGTTCCAAGGGTATATTTTCTTTTTGTTATTTTATATTCCCATTTATAATATTTTTTCAAACCTATATTTTATTTCTAATTGAACAAAAAAATTTCAAAAACAATTAACTTTTTCATATAGTATACTAGTTTGTGATATAGAACTGTAGCTCAACATGTTTCGGTATTGCATCATCAGATTCAATCAATATTGTGCCAAGTATCTATTTTACTATATACCATTTGTTTATTTTGTTATATATATTATTTTATTATAATAGAGAATAATAAAATAAAATAATATAACTGTATAACTATTTTCATAAAAATACCAGTAAAATAAATTATTCGTTTACTAGCATTACTTTTTCATAAATATTATGTTTCAAATAATCTTAATATAAATTATTAAAACCTTGGAATATTTGAAAATTATCAAGAAATTATTTTCTCAAATAACTGGCTGAAATAAAAATAATATTTTTGTACGTCAGCAAGAATTGGAGATTATTCGTTTTACGTGTCCTGGAAGAATATGTATTAGTATAAGAAGATCGAATATTTGGCCTTGCCTCACCGCAACAATCCTTATCTTCTGAGATTATTCATACGGCTTGAAAATTTTTGAACTATAAATTAAAATAAATAATCCTAAAAAATGACTAACAATAATTTACATGTTAAATCGCGATGAAAATAATAAAATTATTACACGATACTCGATAATTATCTTGTTTAAGTTTACGATTGTTTTACGTTATTTTCTTTCTTTTTTTTTCTTTTTTATTATAACTCGACGAATATTTCAAAATGCAAAAAGCTAAACGAAGCTACACTTGACATAAATATGCGAGAAGCAAAATTTAAAAGCTGATCAAAAGCATAGTGATTAAAAATTTAGTTCATGGCTGATAGCTTTGAATTTTCAAAGCAAATATTGTGATGCGGCTTGTAAAATTTTAGACATAGCAAAGTTGAATGAAAAATATTAATGGACCACTTCACCCTACACCTTGAACTTACAACATAGTCATTATTGAAAAGCTTCAAAACATCTTACTTCCGTCTACATTGTACTATTTTATCGTTTAAATTTTCTTTCGTGACTCGAGTGGTGAAAAAATTCAAATTTATATTTTTCACGTAAAGTTCATCCTCGTGATTTAATTATGCAAAAATAATCATCTTTTAAATGCCGCAAAAATAATGTTTGTCTATACAGAATTAGAAAGATTGACTTACTCTCTCACCCAATAATAATGTATTAAATTTTTATTTAATATTTATTAAATATTACTATAACACTGTTCTAACTTTTTTCTAATGCTGTTAACTTAATAAGTGTAACAAATATTTTATACCTAATTTCTCTTCAGTCCATTTTGAACAGCTCAAAGATACTTTGTATTTAATTTTTATGCCTCATTATTATAACTAAAAATTTTCTATAAATTTATAACGCAATTTTTTAGTTAGTACTATTAACAGATGATACAATGTTATTATACCTGTATATGTTTTAAACAGCTAGAAATAACTATGTATTATAAGAAACTTAAGTGGCCTCAATAAATAAAATAAAGAAAACACAAAATGTTTACTAAAATGGATATATAATGCATGATGATTCCTATAAGGTAATAGAATTATTAATGAAAGAAAAGCCCAAGTTTAATTTATAATATAAGTTTACTAAATAGTGAAAAGATATAAACCTATATAAATCATAATATAATATTATTTATATATGAAAATTGTAATTTCATAGTCCAATTACTTTTATTTGATTGTAGTAACAGTCTTATATATGATCATGTACAATAATAATATAAAAAAGATGCTACAGTATCAATATGATTTTAATGTGACTTCAATATTCCTTATAACTAAGATAATAAAATTAGCCTTATAAAAATATATTACTTCTATATAAATTCTTATAGGAGACTTACATATAATTATGAGATAATTATAATCTAATTTTAATTACTTCCACTTATAGCCTATTATATCAATTTGATTATTAAGTATATGAATAAGTAAAAATTACTCATTTTGTAATCTTGTATCACAAAAACTATTGCGACACTATAATTGTTAACGCTAAGAGCTCAAGAACACATTCACTTTTAAAAATCAGAGTGCTATAATCTACTTAATGACAGTTTTATGCTTAACTTCCCTATTATACATGATGATAAATTATTATCAAACAGAGCTCAAAGTGTTAATATTTCCTTATCATTACCAAAATAAAAATAAATGAGTTATGAACACATAATGTCATTCCTTTTGTGAGGTCAACCTTTTGTGATTCTATTGCTAAGATAATTTTACTTCTGTTATTCTGCCTTTTGAATTAAACTAAATTATTTTTGTTACCTATTCTTTATATTAGATGTATATTCTCATTTTAATATAAAAATTGTAATATTTTAATATAAAATTATAAAATATAATAAAATATAACATCACAAAAGGTTTGCACAAGAGTGATAATTAAATTAAAGATAAAATTGATTCACTACCTTCATTACATATAACGAAAAAAAGCACTTTTATTGAGGCCACACTGTTAAGTCATATAAATAATTATTGATGAATGCAGTTTATCGTTTTATAATTTCACTATAACATTGTGGAATAAATTAACGATTAATAAAATTTCGAACGATGATATGAACAATTCATTCTCACTAACTATACACTTTTAAAAACTTTATAATAAAAAATTATTAATACATACAGTAAACTTCACTGACTGTGTATTACTCAGCGCACAATGTGTTTGAAGAAATATTCCATCAATACAGAATACGAAATCTAATCGATAAAATAACATACACCGTCTAACCTTATATTTCGTATATTGCTATCTCACAGTATGGTCTCTAACAAAATAGTTTTTAAAATACATTTTTCATCACAATAAATCGTATTTTATTATCAAATTGAACTACTCTTAAAAGTGACACAGAAGCAAGAATATATTCAAAACATGTGCACAAACAATACTTGAAAATTATTCTAAAAACACACCTTATCAAAAATCCCTAATACAGTCTAGGTATAAAAATTTTTACCCTATACTTCTGAACGGTAGCACTGACTTTTAAATTATTACTTATAAATTAATAAATTTCTTACGCTTTGAAGAAATGTACATTACAACAAAATTTATTTAATGTTATTACCATATTTATAAATATAGTAATATTATTTTTAGTTTATATAATCTATATTTAATATTTTATGCTTTGCATCTATTTACTTCTAATATTATTTAGTTATTGAATCAAGTCTTGAAGAACATTTCTTTTTTATTCATATATGAAAATGTTACATAATAATAAACTTTCAAAGTATCACTGATTTTTTTGACTGATTGTAGTTCTCTATTCTCAGCACTAGATGTCATAATAAAACAATACAGAAATTGACATACATCTACTAATTCCTTAATCAGTGTTGGAAGGTGTCAAGTGTTTAATTGTACAACCTGGCAGTTCTAATATAAGAAGTAAAAATGAGTACTGTAGATTGGGATGAAGTTAAAAGATTAGCAGCAGATTTTCAAAAAGCACAATTAAGTTCTACATTACAAAAGTATGATATGAAATAAAAATATTTCTATTCTTTTACTAATCTAGATTGTCAGTGACATTTCCTCTGAACTAATTTTAGACAGCTGGAGAATGAAATTACAATATTTGTGAAACTAACTAAGTTTAAATTAGTTGATATTTAGAATATTTGAATTGATTTAATGTAATTTTAGTAATACAAACTATTGTATTTTGTTATAATTTTTGTTGTATACATCTTTTAACAATAATTTTTAATATTTTACATAGGCTATCAGAGCGTAATTGTGTGGAAATTGTAACAAAGTTAATAGAGGATAAATTGTTAGATGTAATATTTACCAATGATGGTAAAGAATATGTTACACCGCAGCATCTTAGCAAAGAAATTAAAGATGAATTGTATATTCATGGTGGAAGAATTAATTTGGTTGATTTGTCACAAATTCTTAATGTTAATTTGTCTCAAGTATCTAAAGTAGCAAATGACATAGAGAAACATACTAAAGGCTTAAAGATAATACTTGGGCAGCTAATTGATAAAACTTATGCAAGCAAAATTGCTGAAGAAATCAATGACAAACTAATGCAACATGGTTCTATTAATGTGTCAGAATTAACAATACAATATGATTTACCAGCTGACTTTTTACAATCATTAATTGAAAAAGAATTAGGAAAAACTATATATGGTAAACAAGATGCACAAGATTCTAGAGTGTTTTATACAGAAAGCTTTATAGCTAGAAATAAAGCAAAAATAAGAGGAGCCTTATCTGCAATTACAAAACCTACGGCATTATCAGCAATTCTAGGACAATGTTCTGTTTCAGAAAGAATATTTTTCTGTAAGGGTATAACATAATATATATATATATATATATGGTTGAATTATATTAATATTTTTAATAATTTTATATGCTTATATTTATTATTCATAGCAGTTGTAGATAGCTTGCAAGAAATGAAACAAATTCCTGGTATTGTAACAGGAAAACAAGGAACAAATAGTCTTTATATACCAAGTATATATTCCAAAAGTCAAAATGAATGGGTAGATAATTTTTATAAACAAAATGATTATTTAGGTTTGTATTATATTTTATTATAAAATAATGTCATAAAACAACCATAATGAATTTTAATCATAGTATTTTATGCAAATATGATCTTTTAGAATATGATGCACTTACTCGTCTTGGAATATCAGATCCACAAAATTTTATAAAGCGTCATTTTCCAAATGAAAATATAGTCTGCTTAGATTCTGTTGCTGTAGGTACAAGTATTAGGGATCAAATTGATTCAAATATTGAAGAAGCTATTGTAACAGGATCTTTTGTTGATATAAGTCCTCTTCTACCATCTGTATTCTCTGATAAAGATATGGAAATGCTTCTTAAGATTGCAGAAAAAAAAATAAATAACAATACATATGTATTTGCAAAAACTGTAGTAATGTCCAATGCATTTTTACAATCATTGATTAAATCTTTTGAAACAATGGCAGAAGCAAAAGCTAGAGAAGCTGTAGCTAGTGGACAATGGTTCCAAACAATAGTAGAGAACAGGATTAAATCTAAATCGGTAGATCTAATACTTGAAAGTAAAGGAAGTAAGAAAGAAGAACGACGAAAAAAGGCTACAACTGGCAAAGCAGGTGGTGGAAATCAAGGAAGGGAAACTAAAACAAAATCTACCAAAAAGAAATACCTACAAGGAAAAATTCGCGATGTTGATTCCGATGATGAAAATGTAAAAATTACATCAACAAAAAATGTTGATCTTAAATTAATATGTTTAGAAGATATTAAAACTGAAATTGTAAAAGATGATAATTTGGCAGTAATTGATGAATTAGTGGATGAATTAGCATTATATTTACTACAAAGAGTAAATAATCATGCTATATCCGTTGCGGATCAGTTAGCGCAGAATAATAAAACTACTAATTTAAGCGAAATTGAAGAACATTTAAATGTTTTAGTAACAAACATTAAGATATTTGACAAAGGCATCAAGCATATGGATAAAACAAATCAACCTGCTTTAACAAAGTACTTATTAAAATCTCTTGGTACTGATTTTGTGAACGAATTATTTAAATTAGCAGCACAACAAAACATGCTTCAAATCCCTGAGAATATTACCACTGAAACAAGGCAAAAAATGCTACTTGACTTGCCAGAAGATGTAAAAGATCCTTTAAACAATATACACAAATCTATTTCTGGAAATTCCATAGATGAGTTCTTAAATTTTGTAGATGTTTCAATGGCAACTTGCTGTCTAGTATTAAAAAAATATGATAAAAAGAAAAAAAGAGCATTTATTTTAGGCCACAGAGAAGCTTTGTTAGAGGAACTTAATTCTACTCAAGATCCTGCATTAGCACTACATGTAGTCACAAGTATATTATTTACTGCAGCAACACAAGATGTTTTACACATGTCTGGAAGACATGTATCTACAGTTCTTTCATTTCTTCAAGCACAGTTACAACCTTCAACAATGGAAATATTATCTAAATATCATGGTATGATATGTTTAACAGCTTGAATATTTTTCTAATTTATATTTTAACATTTGTATCATTAATGTATATTTACTTGCTTTATTCATGTTTATATTACAGATATGGTGCTAAAAAGTTTAACTTGTTCAGATGAACAAACAAAGCATGATAGTCAAAAGGAATTAGAAGCTGGATTGGTAGAAATTAAAAATATTGCAAATAACTACAAACAACATTTAAAAAATGATAAACCACAAGAATAGAGAATAAATACACATAATTGTATATAGATATAAATATTATTAATTTGTACAAAAATATATTCGAGAGATTTATACTACGTTTAGCAATAAATTACATAAAAAAAATTGATGTTAAAAAAAGAAAAACATAATTAGAATAATATTAAAAATATTTTTATAAAAATAGAAAATAACATTCTTTAATATTTTACTTCAAAAATCTTATAATTATTTTAATCCTAGTTTTCAATACATTTGTACAATATTATACATTCATATATATACAAATTTTGTTACTCTATTCCTAATACTAATTACTATTACTAATACTAATAAAATACTATTGATTTGTTTTTCAAATTTTTAAGATTTCCATTATATATTGAATACAACATTCCTGAATAACAAGATATCTTGTGCATCATTCATTTACAAACTTTAGTTCACATTATAAAGTTGCTAATATTCTTGTGAACCCAACACATCCTGCTACAACAGTTTGACCAATACCCCAAAATAATGCGTACAATGGTGGCAGTGGATATCGAGATGCTCTGTATACAAAAGCAACAGCAGCAGAGCTAAGAACTCCTGATGTTAGTGGTAATAATACACCCATTATTATAATCAGCAATGGAAAGAATCTTTAAATGAAAATTTACTTAGTTATTTTATGTGCTAAAATATACATAAAAAAATTTTAATATTTCCCACATTTGATATTTAATATTATATTTGCTAAATGCTATTTTTTGATACGTGAATATTACTATAATATATTAACTGCTATATTTATAATATAATAGTATAAATGAATAATATATACGGTTTATATATACATAATATATTAGCTACTACATTATAAGGACAATTTAATAAATTTATACATACTTTCCATATTTATGTTGCCTTAATGTAGCAAAACAAATAGCACCAGCTATAGTATGAACAAAAATAGAAGAAAATAAGGCCCACAAGAATATTTGATACCACATTTCTGTAAAAGTTTTAGATACCAAAAATTTTAATTGCTTATAAGAAATTTAAAATAGTTGAAAAAGATAATTATTTTTATAAATATGTACATACCAGCAAATGAAGTTAAAGGTGTATAAAAGACATTGCCAGTATTAATGTTTCTTAAATTGACTGGTGGTCGCAAAACAGAAGTATCTGTCTGTGTTTCCATTATAATTATTTCAGAAATATTTTTGGTATATATTTTTTATATTAAGAAAAGTTAAACATCTAAGAGTTATAACTCTATAATTTCACTAGTATATATTTGTAATTATAATTAAACATGATTTTATGGAAGATAACATTTTATACATGGTGATAATTAAAACAACATTGAAAGAAATGTTCCTAAATCCTGTAATTGTGTAAATGTTCAGTATAGTACACGTAAATCTTTTTAGTTTTAGTTTATGTTTTTAAATGCAATAAAATTCACATTTTCTTCTTAAAACAAAATTGTGAGACATTGTATTAATTTTAACTTACATTTTGATTCTAAATTGTTTGTGCATTATACGTCACATTAATACATACATTTTCATGTTGATAAATTACTTCAACATTTAATAGTAAGTATTATACATGTTTAATATCATTTTACAGATAACCTACTTTAACGTTCTTTTAATAATTGTAAGCATAATAACAGTATGAACTTATTATATCTTAGAAAGTCAAGTGAATATAAAATACGTAAAACTCTTAGCGCACTCTTACAGACCTATTCGAAGCTACACCAAATCGATATCATAGACCAACAAAAATTGAATAAGAAATCCTACATTCGATTTTTACAAAGTTACTATAGTGTATATAAAATATTTAACACGTGCATTATTTTTATACGCAATATATAAATTAAAGCAATTAAGTATAACAATCAATTAATTTTCCTATAATATAAAATATTAAATATTTAAGGTTCATTTACATAACACTATATCGTCTTACTTCAGACATTGAATTTTCAGATTCACTAGGGAATTTAAAATTGCACAATATGTAAGCAGAGCTTGCAGCGTTAGTTAAGTTCAAAAAAAAACGAGAGGAGATAAAATTTATGTTCCAAAGTACTAATAAGATATACTGAACATGGCTAATCAATCAACATCTTCAGCATCTTTTTACGATTCCCCTTTCAAATATAAAGAAGAGAACACTGCGTTACTTTATCAAAATATAAGAATGGTTAGAGGTTATATTGACACATAAAAATAAGATTTGTTGCATATTTAAATTATGATATTCGTTATCATTAGATCTACTCTTTAATGTACTTAGTAATCGCTATTTAATTTTACAAAAAAATATATTTACCAATATTTTTACATAAATTGACATTTTTAATATTTCACATGATAATCAGTTTTTTCCCATTTGCAGATTTTGCAAGATATTCTGAAGGGTATAAATGACGTTGATACAAATATGAAAAATATAGAAGGAGCCATCATGAATACGGCTAAATTACTTAATGCAATTGAAGTAAAATCAATGCCGGATGAAACTTAATTATTTTTTATTCCAGTACCAAATAATGTACAAATAAAGAAATTAAAGTAAATAAAATTGTTTATAAAACTTTAACATACATACATATGAAGTTTCTTGACCTACATTTTACTTATACAATTTTAATTGCATTAATTCTTATATTGTATAATTTTAATTGAATTAACTGTCTGATTCTTTTTTTTTCTTTTTCTTTTTTTTTTTTGGATCAGTTAAAATTTGTATATATATAAATAACTAAAATTATTTTTCTAAATATAGCATATCGCAATAAATCAATCACAGTGCCACTTTTATTCGGTCATCCTTGACGATAAAATATCCACTGATTGTAATTTGCGATTTCAGATTATCGCAGTAGGTAATCAAATTAACCGAACGTGAGCTAATGAAAATAACGGACAAAAAAAGAAAAATGTGCGGTCAATTGAGAAAAATACGAAACGTATTATGTGAAAATAAATCTTTTTCGCAAAAAAACCTGATTATTTACAGAAATATTTAACCAGGTATAATTTTATTTTACTCCTTAATTTTCTATAATCAAATTAATTATATATTCATCGATCATCTTTCTTTTATCGCTTATACAACGTTCCTTCTTATGTTACAAAGATAACATTTCTTTCACGATAATACTTATTCCGATTTAAATGAAATTTATTTGCTACATAATTAACTACTATTTTCCAGGATTTACAGAACATAAAAAGGATAATCAAAAATATCGTCAGAGATTTAATAGTTATAAAAATGTTTACTAAAAATTTCTATTTTTTATCTCGAAATAATATAACTCTACTTATTTAAACTTTTCTCCATAAATTAGATAATAGAACAACTACAAATTTTCTAAAATACTTAACTAACTCGTAACACAAATTTGTGCATAATCTTAGAACTTGAATACCTCGTTGCAAATTTATTTCATTTAAAATTACAATATTTAAAATATTATAATCGATATTGTAAAACTACATTTCAAGCTTATTTTTTGAAATATCGAAAATAACTCTAACACCATATTACAACAAATCTCCGAAAAATTTGATACCTCCTGGTTTCCATTATATTAAAAATACTACGCCATTAAAATCGAAAATTAAAAGGAACCACGAGCTAAACTCGTTACTGTAAATATTTCGATGAAAGATGAAAGAGGACAATAACTAACATAATTCTGCAATACAATCGCTATAGTGTATTGAAAAAGAAAATCCAGCGTAAGGATAACTTTGCACGAGTAAATTACGTTACTCCAGTTAATGAAATCTGAGAAGTCGCAGGATAAGTTTGAAAAGGAGTTGATTAAAAATGTTTTAGTGCCTGCAGTCCACGGATGATAAGTCACTGGCGTAGCGGACAATTAAGCAAGATGAATTCGGTACTATATTCTTTCAATTTGTCCGGTACCACGCGATTATTAGTCATCGCTCATTCACGGTGGCCCACGTGTTTTACGTTACACCTCGACAAATTGAAGGGTACCCGTGCTCGAGTTTCGACAGCCAAAGTACCAGCTGGATCCTACCGGGAAGACGCTAGTCGGGGGTAATTGCAAACGTCTCCTTCCTGGTACGATCAGTTTCAATAAAAGTAATTATCGCGGCAGCTCTTTCGAAGTAAAAATCGATGATGGGCATAGATGAGGGTGGAAGTAAATTGGGTACGACTATTACGTGTGCACAAACGAGACGCGCGGATAATGAATTCAATTGTTTGGTGTGGTTTTTATTGCCCTACTCCTCGCTATGTCGTCCAATCGGGAGGGCGCCCGTCGCTACATTCGAAATATATAAATGTGTCAATAACTGTTCCTCGACGCTCAGTCAGTATTTTTATTCGCCGCTGCCAAACTGACGATTAAATAGTGAACCTCGCCTTCCGTTTCCCAAGTCCGAGAGAAAGTCAAAAGAAGAAATGGTAAGTGCGATTTTCCAAACGGGCATCCCGGACTTAGCCATTTTCACGCTTTTCTAGCCGCACTTTTTTACCCTCCTTTACGTGTTCCACGTCGTTAGGCCAGAGACAGAGGATAGAAATCGGAACTATCGGTCTGTTAGCGAATCCCGGTTAATAATCGCTTTTTCCCGCCGACTGCAACAATTTCTTCCCGATCGTTTCCTCGGATACCGATTTTCTCTTCGAGAAGAAAGGAGAAATTCTTTCGTGAAATCTCGATCCGCGATTAGTTTAAACCCTTCCTCTTCCCTTGCTTCATTTACTTTCATTAAAACGAAACGTTATATATATAAACGTATTTTTACGCGTATATATATGTACATTTTTCAAGAAAAATACGAATTTTTCTTATCGAGTAGTAATTCTTTTTACCATTTTTTTGGATACTTTCTCTTTGAAAAGAAAAAGAGACACTCTTTTATGATTTTCTCAACTTATCTTTTCCAATTTTTATTTTCCAATATCCAATATCCTCTATTTTTGTACGTATGAATATTACATTATATATTTTAGAAGAAAAAGATCACTTCTTTTTAGTAAGTCCAATCATTTCTTTCGTTTTCTTGAATATTATTTCTTTCAGGAAGGAAAGAAAAATTTTCGAAATTTCACCATCTTTCTTCTTCTTTGCTCTTTTTCTATTCGTAAAAAAATTCACACATATATATATATATATATATATATAAGTTAAAATGAAACGCTTTATTTCCATCAGTTATAGTAATTTTTTTTTATCACTTTCTCGGATATTGTCTTCCTGTTTGCTTGGAAAAAAAGAAATCGTTTCATAAAATCGTTTCTTCGAATTTATTTATTTCTTCCGCTTCGTCTTCATTTCCGACTTAAGAAATAAAAGTCTCGTATTATATACGCGCGCATTGCGTCATATACTTTTACGTATACGTGCGTTGAAATTTCGAAAGAAAAGCGAGAAAAAAAACGAGAAAAAAAGGACAAAATAAAACGACGGGAAAGAATAAAAATTGTAATTCATTACGTCTTACCGATTTGACACTGCATATTTTCTTATCGCGGTGTACGGACTCCCTGATATCTCTAGATTACGATGCGTTAAAGGGCTCCGCGGAAAGAGGGCGCGAGATCATAGGGAAGATGCGAAGATTGTATAAGAAGTTGCATCATTCGGTTCGAAACCTCCTCCCGTGATGTGCGCTCCTAGAAAGCATCTCCGGCGCGAGTATCTTTATCGAAAGTTCTATCTCATAGCAGTACCAGATTCGATATTTTTGCGGACTTTATCTACGTGTGACAATTACCCATCGTGATTCACAAGCCTGAAAGGTAAGATCGTCGAATTATTCCGAAAGGGAATAAAAAGCTTTAATTTCAACGTGAGAATTTTTCCTCGGGGCTTCAGACCACGTGCAAATAGATTTTATGTAAAAGATTGATAACAAAACACGGTCAGATGTAATCTGTATAAATAAGCGAGATAATTTTTCGGAACGTGAATGCGCAAGAATTTTTAGACATAGAAGCGTGGACATTTTTTCTCCAATTCCTATTCCTTGCTTCCCCGAAAGCAGATAGTGTACGGAGAACTGTAATCTATTTTTAGTTACATATATTTTAACAAGCAAAATTGCAAGCAACTTGTACCCAAATCGGATCACCTGGCACATTACGATTAATTTCATCATAACGTTCTCTCTAAGAGACTTAGAGATGTTTAAATATTGCTCGGAGATAACATCATCCACCTGCTGTACAGGCCGTATCAGCTTTTGATTACATTCCAACAACGTTACCTGTATCGTAATTTTCAGCCGCAGAATTATACTAACGCAGCGTGACTAATCTTTTCCATCGGTATAATCGAAACTGGCACGAATACGAATTAGACGCCCTATTTCTTAACTAATTTCTTAATTAATATCAATTATTCCGACCAGTATCGGCGCACCTTTTTTTAGATTTCTAGGTTATTCTCGTGAAATTCTGACGCGCGCAAGTACTACTTAGCTGTGTTGATCGTTGATAGAAAAATAGGATTATCGTAAGAAATCAATTTTTAAATTCCACCTTTAAACGCGATTTCGTTACACCCGCGAAATAGTGACACGCGAGAATATCGCCTAGCTATAGTTAATTAATGGTAAAAAAATTAGAATTATTTTATAAGAAATAAAATAAAATAAAATTATATTATTTCGTGTCTACCGAGGATTATTGGTATTTATAAATAAGCTAATATCGAGAGAAGAATACGATTATTCGTATTTATAAATAGACTAATATTCAAAATAAATCGACTAGCCTGTAGACGGAGGAACATTCGAGTACTTGGTAATAACACCCGGTAACGTGGTAACTAATAATATTCGAGAATATTAAAAATAAAATATTTCTTCGTCCGATACGATTACGCCCAATTACTCGGGATTAATTAATAGAGTATATCCGATTATTCTCTCGCTCTTATTTCCCTGGAAAAACACACATACACGTACGTGCCGTTAATATTTCATAGATTAATCGGTAAAAAAGCATTCTCTGGCGCTGCATTCGCGTCATAATACTCATCCGGATAACATTGGTTTCGAATAACATTGTTCAACGATTATACCTTGTCGCCACGATTTATATAATAACCGCGACACTTTCTGCTTACGCAACTAATTATTCTACAGATAAGTTAACGAACAATCCGTTGGAACATCGAAGAAATTACCCGTCTCATTATGGAACGATAAACCGGCCAATATCTCGGAAGTTTTAGCCACTTTTAACTCTCCTCGCGGGGACACACGCTGCATCCAAGTGTTTGCAGCAAAAAAATGATACGCACACCAAGCCGCGCATCGTATCGTCCCCAGATTCTCCCTTATTTTTTTGCACCGCATGTGTGTTCATTAACGCTCGCGCGAATTCGTTTCCAAACATCTTGCCTCGTTAACGGCCGTGTTACTTAATCTCCTTTAAACGGTACGCGTGACCTTCCTTCTTCCTCTCACAAAGACCCTCTGACGATGGGAAGAGAAAAAGGGGAGAGAAACGAGACGAACGCCGAAGATAAAATGATGCGGTAGCATCTAAATTCCGTTCGTGAACCACGCGAGAGGAAAGGATTCCGGCTAGAGAACGATTCAAAGTCACGGGCAAACGACGCGACCAGCACGTACACCAGCTACTAAAGTCCTAACAAACGTGTCGAAGTGGAGGAACCGTGAGAGATACGGTTTGGCCCGAAGCGAGACGAGATTCGGGAATCGGACATTCCTCCATGCTAGGCCATCAACGCGAGGATACACGGCTAAGGTATAACGAGTGTCGTGTTTTATATGACGCCGATGATATATGCGATAGATAAATCTCTCTAATTTGGTGATTTCGATGCTCACGTTAACGAGCAAGCCATGAGACCGAGTTCCTGGCCAGGTCAGACCTACCTAGCCCGGGAATTCCCATCCACTTAGGAATTTCATTGGTTTTTCCATTCGACATGGGAGGGATTCGAGAACCCTAGGAAGTAAGGCGGTCGGTATTCCTTCACTTTCCAAATCGAAGTTTGGAATCGTAAAGCGAACGGTGAACATTCATCGATTCGTTCGTGGAAGATCCCTGAGGTTCGGGCATCGCTGACGGCTAAGTGAAGAATTCCCCGTAACTCGCGTGACGCAGAGGAAACTGTGCTAAAATCACGGAACGAACGTGGAAAAACAACAACCGGGCGATTAATCGTAATATTATTGGCGTTTTATCGGCGAAATTATTAAACGAAATTAACTCGTAATAATACGGTTCGATAAACGACGAGAGGCAGGAAAGAGAAAGAATGGAATGTATGCTTCGGCCGTTATTACCGGAGATATTTAATTATCGTCGCGTTCTCAAGACTTTATTTTATTGTTGCCAATTGTGTTTATTCGTATCCTCGAGGAAGGTCGAATGAATCGATATTATAAATCACGCACCTAACCGGACAATTAAATCCGCACTGCTATATTCAATCGGCCCAATTTCTGCGAAAAGATCGTGACGTTAGTGCTCTTCGGCTTCATTCTGATTCAATCATTGCACAATGTCCTTTCACGTTCATCGGATCAGTTTCTTTGATGTAACATCGTTAGCCCGTAACACGGTGCCCGTAATTGCCCGCGATATATATCGGCCACTTTCTTTCCCATTCACAGACCCGTTCTGCCTTTTTCAGATGCGATCGTGTTCGATGCTGATCAATCTCGTTTGCATTATCACCGTGTCGTACACGGTTTCGGGACACCCCTTTTCGTTCCTGCCACGGCATGCCGTTGAACGAGCTGCTGAACGTAGGAGCATAGGCAGGCAGATAGTAGAGCACAACTCCAACTTCCTGGCTCCCTTATCGGAATATGGGCCACGATCTGCTGACTCCAAGGTAACGAATGATAATTTATTTACACTAACCCAAGTGAACGTGTACCTTCGCGAATCTAAGAAACGGGATAGAAAGAAACTTGCGGCAAGCACGACGAAAAGCTGATAAACGTTTACGTTTAGGCTGTTTTACGAGTTTGAAAAATTGACCAGACCTCGACGAGAGGAAATGTATTCGAAGGAAAATTCGTGAAGAATTTTCATGAATTTAAAAGCTCGATCGGTCCTCGATAAGAAGAAACTTGCGTCATGTATGATAATCCAGAGCTGATGGATGACAGATTTGCGACGCTACGCGAATTTTGATGAACATAAAACATGGAACAGATCCCGAGAAAAAGAAACTCGGAATAAGTGTGCGACAGGGAGTCCATGAATGATACATTCGTAATATTTCACGAATTTTTCAGAATTTTAAATCCGATCGAGTCTATCTGACGTATATATTTATAACATTCGAGTAACTTAAATTTCTAACATCGACTGATATTAAATGCTTTGGTATTTTATTAGAGACGTTTCTAACTTTATCTTACAAAGATTTCATTTCAACGATGCGCAGACGATCTGAATTTCATCAAATCTCGGTGTCGATACATCGCAATCTTCTGAATTTAATGTGACATTGAATGTTCTGTTTCTCAGCCCGTGGAACCATGGACCAAGATCACTCAGAATCCAGTAAACGGCATAGAGTCCAGTGTGGGGTAAGTAATCGCGTATTAAAGCGAGGAAAATTGTAAATACATCGATAATATCGTGTTTTTCTCGCCATCGCAGAAGCAGGTTGGAATTAGAATGCAAAGCTAGCGGCAGCCCTCCGCCGGAAATTCTCTGGTTCACAGGAAGTGGTACTAACGAACAAGTGAATATCTCGAATTCTATTCTATCGCTATACCAACATAAGGAAGCTAAGAGGAAGAGAATTTTAATTTCTAACATTTCTTTTGCCGTAGCTTCTCGAGTACGTGAAAGCCAGCACGCATTCCTTGTACGATCCATCCGAGGAGTGGAAAGGAGTGGCCAGAATTAATTCAAAGCTCGTGATAGAATGCCTTACACCGGATGATGCTGGATTGATCTACTGTGCGTCGGTTTCTGCGAGAGAGGTGAAGATCTCCACTCCTACGGTGCTGCTGGTTAACAGTAAGTGGAATACAATTAACAATTAACTGTCAATCATCTGGAGTTGTATTAACATGAAGCTTTGACCAACTGTCACGCAACCCTCTTATCTTTTATAATTCATCCGTATATTCTGCTAATGAGTGATTCATAAGACTTTTGACT